GGGGGGGGGGGTAAAGGCAACGAAGTCAACGATGGGCTCGTTATAAACTGCCGCCTTACTGTATCGAGTCTAGACATCGCACGTCATATACTTGAGATATCTGAGCCCGTCGCTTCCGTGCGTCTCTATCGCCATCGACGATAAGGGGAAGGCATATAAAGGGAAAGGAGGAGAAAAGAGCGGGGGCGAGAGTGGCTCTGCCACGAATGGGGCGACGAATATCCGGCGATATTCCCTGGTGTATTCACCGCTCAGGATGAAAAGAATGCCATCATTCCGGCTTCGTGGGGATCACGTGGAGTTACGAAGATCAAATACCCCAGAATCCCTATTTTTGATATAATTAAATTAAAATGCTTTATCCCTCATCGACTAATACCGCTTCTCGGCTCGAGGACAAATCGAGGCAGCCGACTGCCACCGTCGCTTCGAGACGGTCCCCATCGCTGATTTCGACCGGGACCTGACACATTCGACCGTAAGCACCGTGAAACCCGGCCGGTCGCGATGTCCCTCGCTCGATCGATGAATGCAGCCGTGCATTTCCTAAGCGCCACGAAGCGAATGACGACTCACAGAGCGATCTCCAGGTTCTCCTTGAGGTCGCGAAGCGCGTATCCCCCTGGCCCGAGGTAGACGTCGTCGTGCTCGTCGCCCTCTTCGTAGCTCTTCATCAGCGCCTGCTTCACCTGGAAAAAAAAAGGGCATGGCTGCATCGGCAGAGGAAGATCGGGAGAAAGTGGCCGGGGAGCGAGGACCAGCCGCGATTTCGATCGTTCCGAGTGATTTGATTTGCGTTCGTATTTCGGTCCCCACCCCTAGGATGCGGCAAGTGTGGATTTAAAAAATATCATCTGCAAGGAATCCTGACAGGACGTCACAGTTCGGGTAAATTTCTGTGCGTTCGTGTATGTGCGTGGATTTAAGGAAGTAAACCCGAACTACATTTTACGATTTAAAATTTCAACATTTTTTTTCATGCATATGTGAATGCTTCTCAGATTTAATTACATATATAACACATGAGTTTTCTCCAGTTTTAACACTAGCCATGGAGCACACCGAATTCAGCCCATATTGCGGGAATTCAACGCTTTTCCGTCAGGCTTCTGCTTAGTGAACCTCTTTCAAGTCCCGGATTTCAGGTCTGGCAAATCCTTTCCTTCACGGATATTTCCTGATTCTTTACGGTTCATCTCAAGACCGGTTTCAGAACCATTTGTATGACTTCCCGTCACCATACATCACCCACGGGGTGACGTTTTTCACTTTATCACGTCTCGAGAAAGTCGTCTCCGCTGGCATATGTCCATCGATAATGCCAGTGACCTTCTGAAGGAGGAGTTGGATAGCTCCACTGGCGGCTCGTGATATGCCGCTGCAGTAATCGAATGGAGACGGTGAAGACCGACCTCCTCTGTCTCCACTGGCGAACCACTGCCGCTGCGATCACGAGCCGCCACTGGGATGGCAAGAGAAGACAAGGGAACGGGAAATCCATCGTACCTCTCCGTGCCATCCCCATCGCTACGCTTTGTACGAGCCTTATTTATTATGCGAGCCTTATGATATGGCTCGCATGAAACGCATTTGCAATAGGTGAGTAATGCATGCCGTGGAGACAAGCCCATTACAAATCCACCGCATCTTTACCGATTCCTTAATTCAGAGCGCTCCTTTCCTTTCATTTTCGATATACTATAACGGAAAAGTGAGCCAAAAAGCCCCCATAACTCAGCGATTCGTGTCCCTCCGACACAAAAGACCTCATCCTCGATGATCGCGTCCGGGCAAGCGTCCCGTGCCGATCACCAGCCCGCCGATGGCTGCCTGCCAGGGCCTCCATCCGTCGGTGCATCGCGAGGACGAGGTCGCATGCTGTCTGTTGGGACGAAAAATCTACAGGGTGGGCCGAAAATAAGTTCACTCGTTTTTATGATTGATGCATCCGTACTAATTAAGACGCGCTCCGTCGATTTGAAGGATATGTGACGGTACTCTTCCTTGCTCGAATGCAATTCAGAGTAAGGAAAAACAAGTAGTTGTTTAGTAGTATTTCTTGAGGTGCGATGTGAATGATCTGAGTTCCAGACGTATTATTACGTCAGAGAATCATCCTCAAATTTTTTTTCCTCTTAACATTTTCCTATGGATAACATTTTTTACAACAACCAAAAGTTAAGTTAGGATTTAAATTACACGAAAATTTTCAAAATGACGCTCAATCTACCCTAATTCTACTGTCAGCCTAGCCCACCACTGCTCGAAGGGCGTTTGGCTCAACATGTGAAAGTCGAAGACATGTGCGCAACTCCATTTTTTTTTACCTCAAGACAGAAATTTTTTTTTTTTTAAACCACAAGTCGCATTTCCTTGCCAAAAATTCCAGTCTGTCTCAGGAGAGTGGTACAATCCATGCATAAAATTGCCTGAACTCGTCTCAATTAAAACGGATCATTCGAAAGAGGAAACTTTTCCGGCCCACCCTGTATTTATCAGCCCACCCGGCTGATAAACGACTCGCTTCCCAAGGATGATTTACTTTGCCGTCGCCTCCGAACGTCGGGACGGCACCGTGGTTTCGAAGTGGAGCAGCGACGATGTGGAATGGCGGTGAAGCAAGTCGGAATATTGCCTTCGTTACCCACAAGTACCACGAAGTACCTTACTAGAGTGAAGAGGTTATGGGAAGCGGGGGCTGGCCTCTATTAGACTTTAAATCGTTCATTCGTTTCTATATCTTAATTCTACCTCATCCAGAGGCATACGTGGTTTCAGAGTTGCTTCTGGAGAAGTAGAGGAAAACGTCGAGACTGGTAAAAGGAACGGTGAGGAATAACGAAGAATACGTTGAGGCTGGCAATAACGGATGGCGAGGAACAAGGAGGAATAGCGAGACTCACGAGAAGATGCCGAAGGAGTCGCCCCAGCCGATTCTGGGCTGCTTCCTCCTTCCGCTTCTGCCTCCTGGGACGAGTTAAAAGGGAAGAAATCTTCTCAGCGTGATGTGGGGCTGCCGAGCGAGGAACGAATTTTTAATCGACTCGGGCATTTAATCGATGGATACGTCGAGGTTTAATCTTTTATCCTTCCAGAATGGGAATTTATAATATCGTTCTGGGCGGCGAAGGGAATCAGCCCGTTTTCAACAGGCATATGCAAGGAGATGCAGTTACACAGGAAGATGCAAAACCGAATCGTCGCCTTCCTCATCGAAACGGCGTCCCTCGGCATGCCGTGGGCCCAGGGGCCGATGGCTGCACGGGATTCATCAGATCCGAGCGTCTCTCGCTTCAGGTCGAGGGGAAAGAGAATTCTTGGACACATTTTCGGCTGGAATGCCTTTTTTTTTTTTTTTCTTCGAAGACTGTGTTTTGTTGTGGAATGAGATCTGAAGGTCGGTGGAGAAATCTTATATCAGAGATTAATGGATGAATGGAGAATGAGAAGTTAATCGATCGATCGAAGCCGACAGCCCTGGCATGTCGTAACCTGATGTCGATCATATCGTATTTCCTTTCTTCCGACTCCCAGTCGCGCAAAAAAAAACCATATCGCCATGTCGAGACCGTGATTTTATTTATTTATCGCGACTATTCTCTCGACTGCTGACGCTACTGCGAAGCGGAACGATGGCCATTGACAGCGCTAATTTGAATGGCAACTGATTTGAATGGCAACTGATTTTTGTCCGCTCTTACATGGACTGCAAGGATGCGTAGATTTTACGCTTCTGCGATTCCAGCATCTTCAGTTCCTCTTTTGCACTCTCAAGCTGCTGGCGAGACTGATCGGTTTTTTCTTGAATCACTGCAATCTGGCATTCCACAACTGCATTATTTCCTGTTTACAGGATTAAAAAAAAAGTTTCCTGGAACTGTTTTCTGGCAGAGATAGAGAGATGAGTATAAAAATGGGAAGAAACTACTTTTGAGCCGTTCAAGTCGATCGGCAATGGCTTTCGCATCTTCTTTTTCTTCTCGCAAGCCAAGTCCCATTTCGAACGAGGATAATTCGGTTGATTCGAGTTCAGCAACGCCTGGCTGGAAACGGAAGGACACGAGGGCAAAACGAAAGCGACGGGAGGATGCGCGCAGCGACCCTGGACGACTGGACGCGAACTCCGCTTTGATGGCGACAGTGATGTTGGGTAAGTTTCATCGTTGTTAGGAGAATGGGTGTTATGTTGGTTCGGAAGTTTGCAGAAAATTTGTTAAGACGGTCACTTGACTGTATAAATATCTGCCAGGTGAATTCAAGTTTGCTCACAGGCACGCATGTTTGAAGCAAAAAATTTGCATTGATTGTGCTATTACTTATGGATTATGTAACACTGGGAAGTGTTTTTTGGCCTTCGGCTGTCACGTGGTACGGTTCTGTTTTCTTATCGACGGAGGCAGAGGCAGTGGCAGCGTGGCCTTGGGATGCCTTGGAGCTCGCCCACCGCGAATAGGCCTATCATACCATATGCCTCTCACGTCTTCTTACCTACGAGCCTGGTCCCACTGACTTATTCATTGACATTCTCAAACTGAACCAGTTCATAGAGTCCGTCTTCCCTCTACAGACCCCTTGGCATGCGTTAGGCCTAAAGGGTCTTACACTTCATATAACCCCAGGCTTATGGTATGCTTCGTCGCTAACGTTATTTTGAACCTATGACTAGAGTAATGCTGACTAGTTAGCAGAATATGCAAACGTGAGACCTATGATTAGCCTGTCATACATCAGACAAAATGTTTTTCTTGCAATTAACTAAGCCCTATAATAAGTTGACATGCCAAACTATGTTTATGCTTAGCTTATTGCCATTTTACCTTTATTGGATGATGCTATTCAGGGATTTGTGACTATGTCTCAGGTGCACAGGAGGAGAGTTTAACGTAAAACAGGTAGACAGATCGAAGTGGAACAATTTGGAAGAGCCCTGTCACCATGGCTCTGATTATTGATCCTCCAGATATTGAAGTACGTCGATTTCCTGTTTTGTTTCTCATTTTCCTAGGAGCTTTTTATGTTCACCTTATGCCATTACCTAATCATTGACCATTGCTAGGCTTCCTGCTGTAATATTCAACTTGTGACAAAGTTTGTGTATTGGTTTTCAGTTGATCTAGTTGATGAACTCATAAGCTAGGCTGACTCCAATCTCTTCTTTTGCAGAACTTATTATCATTGAATGCCCGTGTCACGAGTCATGCTTCGGTTGTGCCAAGTTCCTTCACCAAGAACTACAAGAAACATTGGAAGAGAAATAATGACAAGAAATGCAGTGTGAGTTTCTGTGTTTGCAGGTCTAATTAAGGGTTGACCTGATTTTTTAATTTTTATTCACAATTCAATTTAAAAAAAAGTTTTTTTCATCCTTGCATAAATGTAAGATTATTTGTGATGATTGGCAGTAAGATGAGGTCAAAATGAGTTGGCCATTTCACTATTTCATGATTGCCAAGGAGAGAGAGTAGCTCTCTGACAGTGGTATTGGATAGGTGAGCTGTATTTGGAGCCATCTTTGTTATGCCTTGAATTTGTTAATGGATTGCATATGGCTTGAGTTTGAGTATTTCTCACAAACCATTGGGCACATACAAACCATTAGACTTATGCTTAATATGACCTAGGAATAGAGGATTGTTGTAGAGGAATCTGTAAAAAAATAGTTTCAGTTATCTGGCATGTACATTTGGAAGTTTGTGAATCTGTTAGAACACAATTTAATTTATACCAGTATAAAATATTCCTGGAAGGATATACCTTATTTTTGTTTCTTTCAGGCATGTGAACCCCTGAACAAGAACTTTGATGACATCAAGCACACCACACTGAGTGAGAGAGGAGCCCTGAAGGAAGCAAACAGGTGTCTAAAATGCGCTGATGCTCCTTGTCAAAAGTCATGCCCAACTCAGCTGGACATCAAATCCTTCATCACTAGCATTGCGAATAAGGCAAGTTGACAATTACCAAAGTGCATCAATGTCAGTCTCAAAGCATACATCAATTAAATCCAATGTAGTCATTTTTAAGTGTATGATGGATATTTTGGAATATTATTTGTCATAGAACTATTATGGTGCTGCAAAGGCCATCTTCTCTGACAATCCTTTGGGCCTCACATGCGGGATGGTTTGCCCAACGAGTGATCTCTGTGTTGGAGGCTGCAATCTCTATGCCTCCGAGGAAGGACCAATCAACATTGGTGGGCTACAACAGTTTGCTACTGAGGTCAGGGTCAAACTAAAGAGCACATTTGCTGGGATATGATGATAGAAATGCTATCTCAATTAATGCCAATAAAAGTGCCTGAAACTGGACTTTTTGTGTGCTGTGCAATGTCTGGCATAAGCAGCATGTCTCTATGGCAACTGTGTTTGCAGGTGTTCAAGCATATGAAAATCCCCCAGATCTTGCCCCCAGAAGTGCTTCCAGTTAGCCAGAGGCACCAGAGCTACATCTCATCCAAAGTGGCACTCATTGGCTGTGGTCCTGCATCCATCTCTTGTGCCACTTTCCTGGCTCGACTTGGTTATGTCAATCTCACCATCTTTGAGAAACAAAATTATATTGGGGGCCTTAGGTGAGTCCAAATTAGATCAGCATTTGTTCACATCATTGTTGTGGACGAATTCCAATATGCTATTAATTCCGATCAGCTCTTCAGAGATCCCTCAGTATCGTCTCCCGTATGATGTGGTGGACTTTGAGATCGCATTGATGCAGGACCTAGGGGTCAAGATCGAGACAGGTCGAGCCCTCAGTACCTCAGATCTGACAATTAACGTATGTCTAGGAATTCTCTACTTGAATGCTCTTTTTCCATTGACTCCTAATTTCTTCAATAATCTTTTCTTTTAAAAATTCAACTGTCTAAAAAAAAAAAAGACAGTCTAATGAAAGGACTCATTGAGAGAATTTGACCTAAGGGTAGTATGCAGTGTTTGGGATTTTTTATTCCTCTTGCCAGAAGAAAAGATTAGAGAATTTTTTTTTCATGGTGCCATTTTGCTACATTCTCTAAGGTGGAAAACATATCTTCAAGGATAACTGAACTTGAAAGCTATGACATAATGTACCAGCTTGGCCTGCTTGTCCATATCTCAATAGGTTGCTCATTGGCCCTCTTGCCTCTGAATTCCCACAGGCAGCAGATGCTGAGTCTCTTACTCCTCACCATCCATCTGTCATTATTTGGATTTTCAAACCAATTTGCCTGTACATGTTTAGTGTTTAAGTCATTCCTTAGAATTTGAGATATACTGAACATTTTCAAGTAAATTTTATGATTGAAAATGGATAGCTAATCCAATTTCAATGGAAGTTATTAAATCTCTTTATCAATTATTCAAAGTTGGCTTGGTATGGCCTCATAATGATATGGCTTTTCAGGGCCAGTTTTAGTGCAAAAGAATGACTTATGGATTTTTTCTGTTGCTTTTTCTTATGCCTACACTGGTTTTTGTACAGCCATCATTTAAGTTAACACTTGGTTCTTCATTATTTTGAATATATCTTCCAAACTTTTTGATGTGGTAGTATGGCAGATGTAGTTGTAGCAGCAGTAACAAACTGTTTGAGATGTCCTGCCACTGACTTTGACAAGCTTGCAAAGGAAGAAGTCAGAAAAATTCTGAATTAAATACTTTACTTACATCCGCCATTTATGGCTTGTCACAGAATGCTTGTTAATGCAAATAGGTGACCATCTCTAATATGTTTGCTTCACAGAAACTGAAGGAGGAAGGTTACAATGCCATATTCATTGGGATTGGGATGCCTGACCCCAAGGTGATCAAGGTCTTCGAAGGCTTGACCGAAGAGCAAGGCTTTTACACCTCCAAGGGGTTCCTGCCTCGTGTTGCCAAGGCCAGCAAGGCTGGTCAGTTAATTGCTTTCCTTGTCTCTCATTAATGGATTGACTTTGCCAGTAGCTTGCTTGAGTTTGAACACTGAATTACCATTATTGTACAATTATTCTCCAAAAATTATTGCTTAGACCAGTTGGCTCATCCAAATTCCAAACTGGTGTCCAAATCATGGAAATCAACTTTTGTGCCACCAGTAATGCAACATGTAACTGCTTTCCAATGCACAATGCCATGTTTAACATATTGACAGAGGAAGTGGATATGTTTCTGGGCAGGAATGTGTGCATGCAAGAGTTCTTTGCCATCTCTTCATGGAAATGTGATTGTCCTGGGAGCTGGAGACACAGCATTCGATTGTGCCACATCGGCCCTCCGGTGTGGGGCCAAACGAGTCTTTGTTGTTTTCCGCAAGGGTTTCACCAACATCAGGGCTGTTCCTGAAGAGGTCTCTTTTATTACCCATTTCCTTCCTTTCAATATTCTGGAATTTCTTTTTCTGTTGAGTGTATCCTTTATAATGCATGGAGCCCTACATCTGTGCAGATGGAGTTGGCTCGTGAGGAGAAGTGCGAATTCCTCCCCTTCCTATCCCCAAGACAGGTGTTTGTCAAGGGTGATCGTCTCACAGGGATGGAGTTTTGTCGCACCGAGCAGGACAACCAAGGAAATTGGATCGAAGATGAAGAGCAGACAATTCGACTAAAGGCCGATTTTGTCATTTCGGCCTTTGGCTCCACGATCGCCAACTCTGACGGTAGGCTTTGCCCAGCTGGAGGAGGAAGAGAGGCTGGCCAAGGTTGTGATGTCATCATGCATGGCTACTAATGCATGTTAGCTGGGCTTAGATTGCATTATAGGTGAGGATCCCTCTGCTTTAATTCTGATTTTGCTCCCATTATTGAAAAAGTGTTTGAAGCTCAAGACTCATTCCTGTGGTAATATCTGATGCATACCAATGCACTAGAAGTGTTGTGGTCTGGCATAACTTTATGGCCCAGTGTCTGCCTGCTTCAGAATGGAGATGCTGCCCTTGTTAACCAATTTGAGTAATGTTGATGGAGGTTGTTCCTTTGGTAGTAGGGAGAGATAGTCAAATTAAAGAATTATCCCCTTATAAACTAGATTTAGCAACTTTATTTGGTACTGAGACCCTAGTTTGGGCTCATATCTGATCTTGAGATTTTATTTTTTTTTTAATCCATGGCATTTGTTGTGGCTGTTTTTATGTGACAATGAATGTATCCCATCTTTCAGTCATGCATGGTTCCATTTTGTTTGTGGTCACATTTCATATCTTCCATGATCCCCTTCAGACCAGCATGCATGCTTCATGACTCCAGTGCCATATGGCTGCTGCCTCTCTTGAAAATATTTCAAATAGAACTATTTTTAAAAAATAGTTTGAAGAATTACTTCCTCGTGGAACCTAAGGAAGACCCCATAAGAAAACCTTATATTCCTTTTGCATTATAATGAACTTGATGATGGGCTGAAGTTGAACTATTCCTTGATTCCAATGTCACCTAGTGACCCTATAATGGGCATGCTTAGTTTTTTTTAAATAATTATCTGATGAAGTTTCTGTTTTTCAGTATTGAAAGCCATGGAACCAGTTCGTCTAACTCCCCATGGGACCGTCGAAGTAGATGAAGAAACGATGGCAACATCAGAACTGGGAGTGTTTTGTGGTGGAGATTTGGGGGGCACTGCTGAAACCACTGTTGAATCTGTCAATGATGGAAAAACTGCCGCCTGGCACATGCATCGCTATATTCAGGTTTCTATCCTGGGAAATATGTGGTCATATTTAGTAAGTGGTCAGTAACTGACTGCTCACTCATACCTTTTCCAGCAAAAGTATGGTCTCGGGACTCCTGAAACTCCCAGGCTTCCCAAGTTCTACACTCCAATCGACTTGGTTGACATTAGCGTGGAGATGTGTGGTCTCAAGTTTGAGAATCCCTTTGGCCTGGCATCTGCTCCCCCCACAACATCCAGCAGCATGATACACCGTGCTTTTGAGCAGGGTTGGGGATTCGCCCTCACAAAGACCTTCAGTCTTGACAAGGTGCTGATGCTTGTGCTCTGATTGTGGCCATGTTGGTATTGAAGTTTAAAAGAAAAATTGAAGATATCTCAGTGTGTTGTTGAGTGTATGTATGGGGTAAAGGTGCTTAATCAAGCCTTTTGGTGTCCCATCAGGACTTGGTGACCAACGTGAGCCCACGCATCATCCGAGGCACCACTTCTGGTCACACCTATGGTCCTGGACAGGGTTCCTTTCTGAACATAGAGCTTATTTCTGAGAAAACCATGGCCTACTGGCTTCAGAGCATTACAGAGCTTAAAAAGGACTACCCAGAGAAGGCATGTCACCCAATTTCATGATTTTAGCAGATGAAATTATTTTAAATTCTTGTTTCCCCTCGTAGAATGCTAAAATTTTTCTTTTCTTAGATCTTAATAGCAAGCATTATGTGTGGATTTAATGAGCAAGATTGGACTGAGCTGGCTAAGGCAGCAGAGGCTGCAGGAGCAGATGCGTTGGAGTTGAATCTATCATGTCCACACGGGATGGGGGAGCGCGGAATGGGTCTGGCATGTGGGCAGAATCCTCAGCTCGTCAAGGGCATCTGCAAGTGGGTGCGCAAGGCTGTGAAGATACCTTTCTTTGCCAAGCTCACACCTAATGTGACCGACATCACAGAGATTGCCATTGCAGCTAAGGAAGGTATGGTAAGGGGGGTGGGTTAAGAATTCTTACTGTCTTTCAATTGAAGGTCTCCCTGAGACTATCTCTGTGCATGGTCCATCCTTCTGTAGGGGGAGCTGATGGTGTGACAGCCACAAATACCGTGTCTGGTCTCATGGGTCTGAGAGGGGATGGTTCAGCATGGCCTGCAGTGGGGAAGGAAAAGCGAACAACATATGGTGGAGTGTCTGGCAATGCCATTCGTCCCATTGCACTTCGTGATGTGTCTGCCATTGCCAAAGTCCTCCCAGGGTATCCCATATTGGCCACTGGAGGCATCGACTCTGCCGATGCAGGCATGCAGTTTCTTCATGCTGGGGCATCAGTCCTTCAGGTAGGACTCATTGGAGGATTGAGCGAATCACCTGGTTTGGAAAAATACTTGATATCCTTGTGATGACCAGGTGTGCAGTGCAATCCAGAATCAGGATTTCACTGTGGTTGAGGACTACATCCTTGGTCTCAAGACTCTCTTGTACCTAGAGACTTTGCAGGAACTGAAGAGCTGGAATGGACAGAGTCCTCCTACATTCAAGCATCAACTGGGGAAACCCATTCATCATCATGAACAGGTGAGAAGATTGTGGGTACAAGGTATTTGGTATTCAATTCTGTGATACCTTATTTATGAAGTGCAGAGAGTTGTAGGACCCTGAAAGTAAAATTGAAGGATGTTGTTGTGGCAAGCCACTTCTTAATTTTTAACTGCAGAGTTTTAAATGCACCTGTCCTACGAAATTTTTTTTTTTGTTGCTACAATACCTTGAGTACATTGTGGCTTTTTAAGGTAATAAATAGATTTCAATTGTGATAGGAGTCATTAAAGTTGCAGCCAAAACTTTGTGTCACCTGGATCACACCTGAATGTGCTCAAGCATTCATCCTGATTGTTGCAGAACCTGCCACACTTTGGTCCATACCTGAAGAAACGACATGAGCTGCTAAGGAAGGAGAAGGTGAAGTTGGACCTGCTGTCTGGGGATCTGCTCCCGGCACCGGCCCGACCCTCCTATCGACCTCAGAAGCCCATCCCTCAGGTGAAAGATGTCATTGGGAGGGCCTTGCCCATGATTGGGTCCTATGGGGACCTTGACAACACCCAGCAAGTTGTGGCACTCATAGACGAGGTATGCGACTCCTCTTTGCATAGGGTGAAATTTAGACAATATGTTGTCTTTTCACAGCCTGCCTCCCATTCTTCACTTGATTGGGAAGACATCAATTCTCTGTCTGTGGTTTTCTTACTTAATGTCATTGCAAGCAACATATTCGAAAAAACTCTTGCATATCACAAAAGAGACTCCTCTCCAAAACTGCAACAATTTCACTGCTGTCCTGATGTGGTTCCACTTGCTGCATGAAAAATGTTACTGATAATGTATGGCCCCTATTTTTTGCTCACATTGTTCAGTTGTTCCTTGAACACTTTGATTCTGCTCTGCTGACAGTTAAAATATATAAAACCAGAATGTATTAGCACTTCTGTCTTATTTTTCAAAGCAGGGTTGGAGATGACCTTCAACCTTGCTCTTTTTTGGCCCCTGAATAGTGATAAGAGAAAGCATGCTCTAGTGAGGAGTTTATCCTCATACCTTTTTGTTTTAATACTGAGCATGGCATGGGTATGTGGGAAGCCCTATGTGTCATTTTCTGCTGGAAACCTGATTTCATTTAGGGACCCCTCAGCTGTTTAATGAACACAGAAAGTGTAATGAAATATTATGAAGCTCTTCAGTCTCAGGGAAAAGAGGTTGATCTACTTTACTTACCTGCACAGTTTTTACGTATTTAAACAAGGCATGTTATTTTAAATAGGAAAAACTTGTGCTGAAAAAACGCTCTGAAGCACCATTTTCTCTTTTCTTGTACTTTGTGTTCTAATCAGGCCTATTAAAGAATGTTTTTAATGATTTTATTTGCAGGACATGTGCATCAACTGTGGGAAGTGCTACCTGGCCTGCAATGATGCTGGCTACCAGGCCATCAGCTTCGATTCTAAAACGCACATCCCCCACGTGACAGAGGACTGTACTGGCTGTACCCTCTGCCTCTCTGTCTGCCCCATCATCGACTGCATCACGTCTGTTCCATTTTGATGGCTGTCTTTCCAGAGTGCAGTGGAAATATTGGAAATATTAAGACTTTGAGTTGTGAGCGAGTCAACTAGAGATACTCTGGGCAGTGAGGCATAATAACAATTCTCTGCAACTTGTCAATTACTTGATGATCTCTATTTTTGGGGTTGCTTTTTTCTTGAATCAAAGCTAGCCATCATATTGAAAATATGTCAGCTGGAATGATCTAAGATTGTGCACAATGCACATATAGCAGAAGTGTGTTATAGCTATTTCTCACCTGTATTGTTTTTCAATACTCTAAGTGCTGGCCACTAATATAACAAGCTGCAGCACAACTTGCATTCTTTACAATAAAAGTGCAGTATGTGTTGGAATCAATTGCAAACAATGCCATTTTTTGGACTTGGGATACCTACATTGTTGACCAAGCTAACCAATGATTGAGATGGTGCCCAAGGAATGTAATTTTGTAGGTCCTAAAACTGCATCCTGCATCGAGTTTTGCTGTAGGGCTTGAGAAAATGTATTCCCATTTTATAGAGAAGAGAAATCCTTTATGGATATAATTAAGAATTTCTACCATTTTGCTTGATGCAGTCATATTCATGGTGAATCAAAGAAAGTTTCATTCTAGAAGGTTTTCTCTCATTAAATGCAAAGACTAGTGATATATGCCCAAAAAATGTTATTGAACCTGTATTGGCTAAAGCAAGATGTCTTTGGGCTCTTAGAGAGTTGCTCATCTCATGGATGTTTTTGAAACCATAGGATGGTGAAAAGAGTGATTCCATACACTCCCAAGCGAGGCATCCCGGTTGTATCGATGAAAGGCATCACTGCTGACAGTGGCAAGTCCCAGTGAAGGCTTCCCCCTCTCAAGAATTCCTGTGTCGGCTGATCGGTTTCCATGTTTCTTCTTTCTGAGGAGTCACTTACATGTTTGTAATCTTTGATGTTAAAAGCTTTGTAGGGGTGTGACACTCAATAGGCAAAAGGTAGTTCACAGATCCACCTATTTGTGTTTATCCCAGTTGTTTGCTTCTGCTTGTTTGGTACTGTGAGAGAATTTATTCTCGGATAGTGGTCCAATCTAAGGTACCAATTGAAGTGTTTTCCAGTGCTCTCAGGTATATTTTCTTGTAAGATATATCATGCGTGTTGGTAGAAAATCGTATACTCGAAGAAAGCCAGTGGTGTTGCATGCTCCTCATGGTATGCTAGGTTGCCTCTCTTGTTGTGTTCCTGTTACTGAAGCAATGTTTAAAATCTCTTTGCACTTTGTTGCACTATTGTCAAGTGTACTCGAGACACGAGTGGATGTCACATGAATGAGGTGTTGCCACTGAGGTCGTCATTGGATCTTGTTGTGAAGTTGGTGTTGAAGAAAGGGTGAGCAGGTTGGTTATGTGAAAAATATAAATTGCTTTACTCAACAAAGCACTTTGGTGGAAGAAAAAAAAATTCACAGAAGAGTGGTGAATGATCATTCAGTACAAATCTAAAGCAATGTTATCTTGATGGCCTATCTGTGTCTAGGTAGATCTCAAGAATACAGTTGGTGACATAATCAGCACATTCTCAAGTAGCATTTGCATACTTGGCTCAATTCCTGCCAATTGAAAAATATACCTGAATCTTACCTGATTATATACCTCTTGCCAGAATATAGCCTTTTTGTTGTTGCAATATTTGCAATGGGAACACGATTTTCTCCTGGGACGTGTATGGTATCTGACAAATAAAGTATCTGGACCACTCCATGAAGTACAATGACATTCAAGTACTTGCAATCCCAAGTAGTGAAGTACTTTCATCGTTCCAAAAGTAATCAATCAAACGATCGTTATGGCTGACTATTTTTAACCCAAGAGACAAAGATATATATGCCCTTTGGTTATCCATATTGTGTGTACTGTCAATGTCAATGTGTATTGCAATCCAGAACTTTCAAGCAATGAAGACTTTTTTGGTTAATTTCTTTTCTCACTGCTGGATGTTCCTGTCGATTCTTCTTTCTGTAAGGACACAAACCAGTCCATCCTTGAATCCTGCTTTGCAGAGCAGCCCACGAGAACTACAGCGGATTCCCCCAGAACCACAGCTTGGTCGAGCCCGATGCGGACAGATTTGTTACCTTGCCTCATCCCCTTCTTAAAGCAGGTGAATTCAAATCGTAGTGAGCAGTGGGATTCCGCATGTCGAGTTATCGACAGGCAGAGGCAACACTTCCCGTTTTGAACTCCATGTAGTTTTCGTCGTTCGAACGACATGGATTCAATGTCCCTCAATAAACCCCCTCCCTTGCATCCACACACTCTCTCGAGACTCCACCCACGGCAGTATTTGAGGCGAATCCACTCCCGCATGTCAAAGAACTTGTCCGAGTCGCGAGGAATGCGCATACCGCAAGCTCGAGGCGCAGAACCGTGTCGATGCAATCTATTCATAATTGCGAAGCGCCGCGTGGGCGCGAGAATGAGCCTTGCAACCGAAACTTCGGCCCTCACGCTTGACGCCAACGCAAACGACCGGCTCGACTCGAATTAAGTGTAATGGGAAACGATTCGCGCGTCCCCTGAGTTCCGTTTCTCCCGGTAGATGGCAGGACTGTCGCGCGAAGACGCCAGCGAATTTAAATCGACCCAGAATCCAGTTTTGCATGCATTTCAGTTTCATTTTTTCGAGGCTGCGTCGCCACGGGAGACGGGAACGCGGAATCCGCTGCTTCGGATCGTGTTTGCCCTGATAAGATCTCTTTGATCCCGGCGCCAGGCCGCGATACGAGGTTGAAAAAACGAATCCGGAAATTTCGCCGCCGTTATCGTCGGATCCGCGGGGATTTTCGCAACTCATCCGGGGGTAATTCGCGTCATTACGACGCGAGAGATTGGAGCGAATCGTCATGGCGAAGAATTAATGCGGGACTAAATACTGCGTCGTCGATTGACACGCATTCCCGTTCGACTCGGTAGAGAAACTCAGGACAGGCCTTATCCTTATGTACTCAGTACCGAATGCGTCAGTACTGATCAGTACTGGATGTATCGTGCAAGACTGAAATCGTCGGGCCAGGCTCCCGTGCTGAGCCACTCGAAGTCGACGACGACGGAAATGGGTCGTAAAGCGAGACACGAGCCCGTTTGTTCGTGCAGACACGAAAGGGAAAACTCGGGATTTCCATCGCAGCAACAGAAAGAGAATGAAGACTTCCTCGACCGACCTTGTGGCGGGTGCGGGGCCGAGGAAGGGAGTGGGGAGGGGGATCGTCCTGAGGGGTGGGAGGAGGCATGCACACGTGCCGGTGAGACACCTGGCGGAGGGTCTTGCAACTGCGGACCATATGCAGAGAGAAGTCGGGCAAACATGGCTTCGGTGTCATAGCGTTAGAGAGGTAATTTCTGTCTGTTTCTGTATGGTGTGTTGTGGCCGTGCCATCGTGATCCGTCGTCGTCCTTTCGTCTCCATCCCTTCCCATCTTCCAAGGATTACGGAGCCAACATCTGACGAGGTGAGGTCTTTGCTGTCCCGAGCGACTCCAGTTCGCGGTTCTGGTGTAGCCTAACGTTAAGCCTAACGTTATCGCATGTAGTATAGCGTTAGACGTAACGACATTTCTTGAGTCCTTTTGCTCAACGTGTTGCGAGGCATAGGTCACACTCGTGCTGTACATCTTGCTGGATACTGTAGCTGTGTCCTCTAGTGCGAGATTATGTCTAACACGTGCAACTGTTGGGCTGCAATAGTGTAATGGAGAAAAAGTGTATGTATGGGAGCTGGGTACAGCATGTGCTGCGGCAAAGTAATCGTGCTATATAGAATGCTGAATTGAACTAAACTCATTCCCATTTTTTATTGCATTATGTATTGGAGGTGCAGTGCTGCATCTTCTATAATGATCTTGCTACGATGATGCATTTTGAGGACTCTACGTACAATTTTGCTGCTGTATTTTACATCCAATATGCTGAGCAACAGGAATATGAACTAGGTCTGTAATGTTTTTGTTAGAGCTCAACCTGGTTTCACTTAAGTCCAACAGGTATTCATTAGGCTAGCATATTTTAACAAATTATGAACTTCAGAAGTACCTTCATGACACACCCTTTTCATCCTGCATTGGTTGCATAAAAGTAGACTTGGCCTAATCTGCAAAAAGTCTGTTAATAGAAGCTATAAGAAAGTATATGATTCCTGGATATGTAACCCTCAGGCCTAGGAGCTTAAAATGATTTAGGGCAGCTATGTTGAGTCCTAAAGCCTTAGGCCACAGTCTCCAGTGTTTGTGAAGTAACTTTTACCCCACCTACACTGTTTTTGGATGTAATTAATGGTTATATGAGCATTTCCAATGCATCCAGGTGGATGGTTTGTCTATCACCTGATGAAGTGGATCCTCTGAAAGTTATTTCTCCGTTCTCCAATATGGCGGGGAGGAATTCAATCCTAAAACAGTTCACTTCCCTTCCCTGGCAGTGCTGCTTGAGGGGCACTTTGTAATTGCAGTTGTTATGAGTGGTAAAAGGGTATAGCAATGAGTAAGGGCCATAGAGCAGCATCTCTGCTTAAGTGATAAAGCTGATACTTCCCAACCTAATAGTAGAGCTCCTTGAAAAGTTTAGAGAACGTACAAATGGGAAGAAAAATCAATTAAAAAAACACCTCATTCAATTCCTGGGTGTGTGACTTCATGATTATATTTGTTTATGAATTATTACTAATACTATCTGGGTTCCAATAGCCTTATATTTATGTCACTTGCTTTACATTTTGTCACTTTTCCTTTTTCGATCAGTTTAATTGGACACTTCTGTTATATTTTTGGCAGAATAATTGTTTTTATTGTCTCCTATTCAGTCATTCCGCTCTATATGTTTCCTAGTTCTGTGCACTTGGTCTAGCTGTGGTGGTATCACAAATGAGGTGTTCCTCAAAGTGCAAGTTCCTCTTTACCTCATGATCATGAGAGGGCTGTCAACCAAGTAACCTGTCAGATACTATCCAATTTCTGGTGGGAAAATAAAGTGGACAGGGGGTCATCAAGTAAGATGAATGACAGGTGAAAAAAAAAACATGCAATGAAGGAAGAAGTAGAAATGCAGAAATAATTATGATGGAAAAAGGGGAGTATGTCACTTTTCTCAATTCTGGATATGAACTGGGGTGGTATCTGAATCATTACATCCCAAAATTTTCCCATTATTGTGAAATCCCAAGAGTATCATATTTAGTAAATGTTAGAGTCTGTCAAATATCCACCCCTCAAGCCCTGCTTAAAATTCTGGCCATCATGCACCTTTCCCATAATACCATCTTGGTCTTTGTTGAAGTGAGAAGAAAAGGGTGTCCAGGGGGATGGGATGCCACAGGATGTTTTTTTACAAGAATATCCTTATTGTGTCCTTGGTGCTATTGGGGTGCTTTGGTACTGCCCATTGTTCTCCTTTGCAAATTATGGATTGAATTAGAATTATATGAGAAAGCCAAGGGAAATGTGACTCTTACTGAGTTCTGCTATTTATATTTTGATAGCATTGTTCCTCACCCTTACATAGGCTTATTGCCCCTTCCTTCCACTGCTTATTGGAGGTCCAGAGTTGCTTGTGCTTTATCCATGGTTTGCTCAAGACATGCATAATCTCAATCAAGTCTACTTTAATTCCCCTTTTCTTTCTCTCCCTCCTATTACCTAAAAAATAGTGTGGATCAATTCAGTCATAGTTCTGTCTGTGTATGAGTTAATCTTCAAGAAATGGAAGGATCCCAGGTTTAATAAGGGGGCTTGGCCTTTATGTAAACTTGTGAACTTTGTGTTGGTTTGGTGCAGAGTCATCATACTGAGTGTGTCATCAGGCCTTGAAGAAACACTTGGGAGGAAAGATGAGGTCCATTGAACACTCTTTTATTCCATAATACTGGTATCAGTGCTAGATGCAGATTAATTTTCAGTTCTTTCTCAAAGTAGCAATGGCTGTCTTTGTTATCTTCAGTCTGTATAGTTACTTGCTATTTTAGCAAATTCAAGATTCTGTAATGGCAGCACACCAGGGAGCCTGAAAATTGCAGCTGCATGCCTGAAGGTTCCCCATATTCACATATGTTATCCTTCACCAAGTAATCCATTGCTTCATATTAAATTGACATAAGACATTTTATGTATCAGAGTTGCACTTTTACCACCTGCATATCAACTTGTCAAATATCTAAAATATTGACTAATTCCTCCCATTATTGTGTTACTCTTCTGTCTTTGTGGAAATACCTCCAAAGTCATTTACAATCTATGGGGAATAAATTTCCTGACAAATCCTGGAACAACCATTGGATGGTTTTGAGGAATATTTGTGAGTTAATACTGCCCAAGTTGTTTGGTGGCATGATAAAAAGAGACCTTTATAATATGGTAATTGACTCTCATTGTCACCAGTTGGCAATTACTTTTCTGGGGAAACCATTGATGATACTGACTGCTACTAGGTACAAACCACCCTGCTAAGGATGTGGAAGAATGAGAGTCATTGTAGATAGCAAACAAAACTTTAGGTACTAGTATAGATAACATTGAGCGGTAGCGCACTACAGTGAGGGGTTCAATGTATTTTCTGTCAGAAGTCCTGAACTGAATGACTTCATGTTCAGTATCGGAAGTGATTTTCTTGATTAATTTGAAGCTAATGTTGACAAGGATTCAACATTATTGCACAGCAGTCTACTTGGAATGTTCTGCCAATTTATGTGCCAGTAATCTTGTGGCTTCATATAGCCTACTAAGAAATGAAGAGAAAGTGTGTCTGCAAGAGGGTGATGGCTTGTAAGGATCATTTTTCATCTTCCTTTTGAAACAAGCCAAAAAAAAAAAAACATTGCTGTGATAAAGTACCTCCTTTGACATAGTCCTCAGAAAAAAGGACATGCTTCTTGTGCAAATTGCTTTCATCTAGTAGAGTCTCATTTGCATGACTTGAACTGTCTTGGCTGTGCTATGTTTAGCAAAATAAACCTAATGATGAGATGTTGATGAATAATGTCCAATAGAATAAGCTTAAGTCATGGAGATGTGGATCTTGTAGATTGTGAGAAGCCTGCGGTTACTTCAGCGGATGAGAGGTCCCAAAAGAAAAAGCCTTCTGTTAAGGAGAAGGAGGCCATGGGTTATATTTGTATTGCCTTTGATACAGTATCATCTGGGGAAGGAGCTTCGTTGGTGTTTACCAAGAACAAATTGAAAATGAAATTTAAAAATAAATCTTGTGTGTTTGTGATTGCTATCATGTTTTCCCACACAAGAGCTCATTTGGATTTTCTCTTTCTGGTATTTGTGCACTTGGCAGTAAGTACCTGTGATGGACAGTAGAACAACTTGGTGCAGGAACCAGATACATTCAACGGTCATTGGAGTAATGAATAAACCTGTGATGAAGAGGGGGAAATATTACTGCATTCAACTATTGGGTAGCATGTTGTCCTCGTCAGAACTGTCTCTGCCAGACCCTGTTGACAGAGGGTGTTGGCACAAGGATCCCACAATACAAGCACCTGCTTTGTACAGGTAGCACCATCCTGCAAAGGAAAAATGCTCCCCGACGGAGGGAATGGGGAGAATGTTAAAGACTTTTGAGGAGTTCAGAACTAGTCATTGATTTCCCAAGTGCTCTTGAATCTCAAGCATTTTCGTGTACATGCATCAGCTGCATCACTTTGAGTGGTTTATTTGAATTAATTTCTTGTGGCTTGTCTGCTCTCCTTCGTGGTTTTATATTTCTTAAAAACTAGATTTCCTGCGCTTGTGAACAAATATTGGATAATGCGTAGAAAAATCTGATCATGGGGTGAAAGATAGGGGTGGAGCTAGTGGTTGCCAGGAGTGAGCAGTAAACCAACAAGATCTGGACCGAATTTGCCGATCGAGGCAGCATGAGAATGGGATTTCAAGAACGAAAAGTTATGCAACGATTGGAAACGGAAACTCGTGCGGTTTATTCCTGCGGCTCCTGTTGGCTGCGGTAGGATACGTGTCCTTGTAAAAGAAAGCTTGGGAATACGCGCTGCCTCCTGTCGATGAGGGTCGTCGTGGCCGGTTCCCATGGGGTTGGGCACTGTGGCTTCATTGGAAGGGAAGAATAACATGCGGTGTTTGTTTTTACCGATTCTCAGATCGATTCCTCGTCGTGGGTTCTTTCCGACCGCGTCGGGACCTTGGTAAGCAGGAGCTTGTACGACAGACGGAGCTTCGACTCGATGTAATGGTGCGAGGGTGTTTGCTGATACTGATGTATTTTTTGCTGAGGGATTTCCGAGGATGGATGATATCGCGGCTCTCCCCCCGCCCAACCCCACCTGGCGATGACATACGACCTCCCCTCCCCCTAAGAGCCCTTTTTTCTTCTTATCGTTTCTTCCTTCAGTCTCCCAGAGCAGGGGATCA